CACATTATTCCTGAACTGTTGTACGGTCCTTGTCTTGTCAAACTGCTCATCTTCCTAACTCTAAAAGATCTAAAAGTTAAAGTTCTAAATTGGAGGAAGGCCAATTTTGACAGTATTAGGCAAGAACTTTCAAAAGTTGATTGGGGGCAGATGTTTGCAAGTAAAGGGATGGCTGAAAATGGGAAGCCTTCAAAAATGAGATAACAAGAATCCAGAGACAGTGTGTTCCTGTTTGGGTGAAGGATAAGGCCGGTAGGTGTGGGGAATGCTGGATGACGAGAGAAATTGAGGTTTTGGTTAAGAATAAGAAGGAAGCATATTCATGTATAGACAGCAGAGATCGAGTGAATCCCCAGAAGAGTATAAAGGCAGCAGGAGTAGTCTGAAGAGGGAAACCAGGAGGGCAAAAATGGGACATTTGATAGCTTTGGCAAATAGGGTTAAGGAGAATTTGAAGGAATTCATTTAAATTAATTTCTGATGGCCTTATGTGAAGGTGTAGGGTGTACTGAATTTTCTTTGAAACATCACCTTTAATAAATGCCCTCTTCCTGCATGCACAGCATTCAAGTGCTCAGATAGTGGAGCTAATTCCCAAGCTATAGAAATACATTAAGGACAAAATGGTAACTAGGCAGAGAATATGGCCCCTTGAAGATCACCAAGGCTGCCTATGTGTGGAACAGGAGATGGGGGAGATATTAAACATGTATTTTGCTTCAGTGTTTACTGTTGAGAAGAATATGGAAGATAGAGAATGTGGGGAAATAAATAGCGACATCTTGAAAAATGTCCATATTACAGAAGAGGAGGTGCTGGACATCTTAAAATGCATAAAGGTGGATAAATCCCCAGGACCTGACCAGGTGTATCCTAGAACTCTGTAGGAAGCTAGGGAAGTGATTGCTGGGCCCTTTGCTGAGATATTTGTATCATCGATAGCCACAGGTGAAGTGCCAGAAGACTGGAATTTGGCAAAAGTGGTGCCACTATTTAAGAAAGGTGATGAGGAAAAGCCAGGGAAGTATAGACTGGTGAGCCTGACATCAGGGGTGGGTAAGTTGTTGGAGGGAATCCTGAGGGACAGGATTTACATGTATTTGGAAAAGCAAGTACTGATTAGGGATAGTCAGTGTGCATGGGAAATCATGTCTCACTGATTTGATTGAGTTTTTTGAAGAAGTAATGAAGTGGATTGATGAGGGCAGAGTGTTGGATGTGACCTATATGGAGTTCAGTAAGGCGTTCAACAAGTTTCCTCATGGGAGACTGGTTAGCAAGGTTAGATCACACAGAATAGAGGGAGAACTAGCTATTCGGATACAGAACTGGCTCGAATGTAGATGACAGAGGGTGATCTTGGAGGGTTGATTTCAGACTGGAGGTCTGTGACCAACGCTGTGCCACAAGGATCGATACTGGGCCTACTGCTTTTTGTCATTTGTATAAATGATCTGGATGTGAACATAGGGGGAATGGTTAGTAAGTTTGCAGATGACATCAAAGTTGGAGGTATAGTGGACAGCGAAGAAGGTTACGTCAGAGTACAGTGGGATCTTGATCAGATGGGCCAATGGGCCAAGGAGTAGCAGATGGAGTTTAATCTAGATAAATGCGAGGGGCAGCATTTTGGAAAGGCAAATGAGGGCAGGACTTATACACTTAATGGTAAGGTCCTGGGGAATGTTGCTGAACAAAGAGACCTGGAGTGCAGCTTCATATTTACTTGAATTTGGAGTTGCAGGTAGACAGGAGAGTGAACAAAACATTTGGTATGCTTGCCTCTATTGGTCAGTGCATTGAGTACAGGAGTTGGGAGGTCATTTTGCTCCACAGGACATTGGTTAGGCCACTTTTTGAATACTGCATGCAATTCTGGTCTCTCTGCTGTAGGAAGGATGTTGTGAAACTTGAAAGGGTTCAGAAAAGATTTACAAGGATGTTGCCAGGGTTAGAGGGTTTGAGCTATAGGGAGAGGCAGAATAGACTAGGGTTATTTTCCCTGGAATGTTGGAGGCTGATGGATGATTTTATAAAGATTTATAAAATCATGAGGAGCTTGGATAGGGTAAATAGACAAGGTCTTTTCCCTGGGGTGGGGAAAGTTCAAAACTAGAGGGCATAGGTTTAGGGTGAGAGGGAGAAACTTTAATAGGGATCTAAGGGGCAACTTTTTCATGCAGAAGATGGTGCATGTATGGAATGAGTTGCCAGAAGAAGTGGTGGAGGCTAACACAATTACAACATTGAAAAGGCATCTGGATGGGTATATGAATTGGAAGTGTTTAGATGAATATGGGCTGAATGCTGGCAAATGGGATTAGATTTATTTCAGATATCTGGTCGGCATGGACAAGTTAAATTGAAAGGTCTGTTTCTGTGCTTATTTCTCTATAAGGTTTCTTTGTTCAGCTCTATGACTCTAATTTGACAAAAGAATACTAGACAAAAAGAATTAGAAAGCAGGAAGAATTTGGTGTGTATGTAAGATGCCAGAAAGGGACAGGCAACCTTATCACACAGATGGATATATACAAAAAAATGCAAAAGCCAGACTTTTAGTTAATGTTTCCAAAGGGAGACTTGGTAATCTAAATTCTAATGTTCATTTCCCCTACAACAGGAAGAGTCAGCATGAAGATATTCATAGCTCTTTTAGTGATATATTCCTGGGAATGTAAATTGATTGACATAAATGTCCATTTTTTTCCAAGGATAAGTCTTTTTGAAGCCAACTATAACAGCTGGAAATATAAAGAAGAAACCGCGGAAATTAAATATGTGTATTTATGGGTTGAAAGATTTATTAAGTGTGTTCTATTTCTCAGTTAGGTCCATTCCACTGAAAGCAGACTGTATTCAGTTCAAAGTAGATCTTGGAAAGTTTTATTGATATCACAAGAAGAAACTAGCAGACATCTTCATGATGCATATTGACAATTTTCTGTGGAGAAGTTCTGCAGAATTCGAATGTGTGACAGATAAAATAAAGGAGTATAAGATTTGTAGTTTGACTTTGAGGTCCTAAAATTTATGAGATTAGTTGTGAAACAAGATGAATTGGGAGTAATCTTGGATCAACAATCTCACTTATAACATTTCAATCATATATCAATTTGGTAGGAACAGATTAGCTGAGAAGTTTGTTTGTTCAGTTAATAGGTTTTTTCACTCAGGCTAGACCTACCATTAGTCACAATTGTTAGTCACTAACAGTACCCATTAACAGCTTTTCACCCTCCTAGCCAAATCATTAACAACTCCTTTGTATATCCAACTGTTCAGTGTCTCTTTATCCTATTGTTTACTCCCTACCCCACCCCTTCCCTATCTTCTGCATATAAACCGACGTTTTCCTCGCTACCATCACTTCTGAGGAAGGGTCACTGGACCTGAAATGTTAACCCTGATTTTTTTTGCAGATGCTGCTAGACCTGCTGAGCATTTCCAGCAACCTCTGGTTTTATTCCTGTTTTAGACCTAGTGTGAGTTATAATTTATTGGAACTGAATACCACCTTACAACGTGATATGAGTAAGGAGGTTTTGAGAGCAAATAAAATATTTGTCCTTTAGGGAAGGAAACTGCCATCCTTATCTGGTCTGGCCTACATGTGATTCCAGACTCACAGCAATGTGGTTGACTCATAACTGCCCTCTGAGCAATTAGGGATGGGCAATAAATGCTGGCCTAGTCAGCGGTCTTCAAACCCGTGAAAGAATAAAGAATTCGAGAAATTAAATTTAAGAGATTTGCACTTAAGTTTTCAGCCTTAGGTGATCCGAAAGGTTTAAAGTTTTTGTTTAGTGATGGTTCACATGCCAGCGTGGCAGGTTTTAACCTATTCTTGTTAGGAAACAAAACTAGCAAGTTTTATACATTGGCTTGTCAAGCCAAGAAAATTTTAAAAATAGCTTAAAAAATCCTCAACTGCTGAAGTATTGGCACGAGTACACATATGGGAGTGTATTTATCTGATATTCTGAAGAAACAATCTGAAGTGGCTATCTAATATATATTTACTTATTAAATGGAATATGGAAATGGAATAGTTCATTTAGCAACGGGTATTTCAGTGAAAGTTGGTTAATTGATGTTTAGTAATTAATCCTGCTATTGTGAAGGAACTGTTGGAAAGAAGAGAGATTTATAAAATAAAATGTGTTAATGGAAGTCGCCAATTGTCATTGTTTTATAAAGAGAAGTGCCTGCCCTAAGATATTAGTAGGTGGTCTCAAAGAGGGATGTCTTGTGCTATGGTAAGAACATGGAATATTGTATGTTAAGCATATGGATAACATTTTTTTTTGTTTAATTGCTTTGTATGCCCTGAAACATGTGGAACATTTTAAGAAAGGAGAATATGGTATTCTGTTGATGGATGGATGTATTATACTATAAAACGTAGGTTTAAAACATTTATTTTGATTTATTTTGGAAAGATTATTTTTAAAAGTTTGAATTTAAGGGAATTTGCAATTGGCTTGTCAATCAGGTGTAATAATAGATATTTTTGTAATCAGCCTGTTTTTATAAATAACAGCCTTCTCAACTTAATAATGCTGTTAACGCTTCCCCTAAGACCATGATTGGGGCAGCCTTTGTGACATTTGATAGGTAAACCCCAGAAAATCTTGGTCAAATGCAAATGGGATAGACATATTTTGTAACAATTTCTTTTTGTTCAGTTCACTGAACCATGGTAATGCTAATTTCCTAAGAGCAGAAATGAGGAACATACATCCTAAGGTTTATAATTGTAGAGAAGCAAAAGAATGTAGTAAGGTCATGATAGTATCGATGCATTTAATACAACATTATAAATTAGTTCATAAAATTTAAAGATATATTCTTCAGGGTTCATTGCTTACAAAGAATCCACCAAATTACAAGTTGAATGGGGAAAACTGAATTACCAAGATTGTCTTCTGATTATTTTCAGGTTTGTTTTGTCAATATAAACCCTAATGGTTAGCATTTTTGTTTCCATTTTACTACAGAATCTCAGAAAAAAATTCAAAGTAAACAGTCTGAAAAGGAAATCAAAATGAGTAATGTGGTTTCAGAAATTGTGGTTGAGACAGTTGCGAATAAAAAGGATCCAGCATCTCAACAGCTCACTTCTAAGGCCCCTCAGAAAGATGCACCAAATTTACAGAAACACGCGAAATTTGGAGCTTTTATTTTACCTACACCAGATGTAGCTCTTGATTACAGTCAAGAATTAGAAAGGAAAAGGCAGAAAAATCTTATTGGACAACTAAAGGCTGCTGAATCGCACAATAAGATACACAATATGCGATTACGTTATCGAAAAATGAGAGTAAGTTAAATTTTCAAAATTTCTTCCTGTAATCATGAAATTAAGAAATTTTTAATATTATGTTCATAAAATGAAGATTAAAATTGCTAAGAACAGTATTATTTTCAATGAATTTATGGAGTATTACAGCCAATTGCAGCAGATTGAAAACTGACAACATTTAATTAATGAGAAGCTTGCCCAGTAATATCATAACACTTTCTGTTTTTATATATCCAGCCAGCTCTCTCTCACACTCCAATTTCTCAATCCCTTTCTTTTGATCATTCCTTACAGATTTATAAAGTAGTCAAAGCTTCTGAACTATCACTAATCTTTTCAGTATTCTGTATGTTTTCTTTATCTTTCGTACTGTTCTTAACTTCTTACTTAGCCATGGATGGTACGTTCTTCACTTAAAGCCTTTCTTATGTAATGGAATATATTTTTGCTGAAAGTTATGAAATATCTCCTTAACCTACTATGACACCTTTTTAACCTATTTCCACCGTTCACTTTAGTCAATCTGTCTTCATAGCCTTGTAATTGCTTTAACTTCACACTTCCTGCCCTCAAACTCACAATGATGACAAATTTCTGTTAGCTTTCCTAAACACTTGCTGTACTTGCATACTAGCCTTTTTATAATTCATGCACAAGAATGCCCACATCCCTCTACATCTCAAAACTCTGCAATCTCTCACCATGTAGATAAGGTTTCTTTTTTATTCTTCCTGCTAAAATAGAAAATTGTTACAATTCCTACATTATACTCCATTTCCTACATATTTGCCCAATCACCCTGTCTATATCTTTATGTTTCCACCTCATCTCCTCTTCGCAACTTAGTTTCCTACTTTGGGTCATCAGCAAATTTGGCAGTTTTACCTTTTTATCCTTTCATCCAAGTCATTTGTGTGAATTGTAAGCAGTTGAGGTCCCAAAACTAACCTCTGTAGCACACCACTCAATACACCTCATGGTAGACTGATTAGCAAGGTTAGATTACGTGGAATACAGGGAGAACTAGTCATTTGGATACAGAACTGGCTCAATGGTAGAAGAAAGAGGGTGGTGGTGGAGGCTTGCTTTTCAGACTGGATTCCTGTGACCAGCAGTGTGCCACAAGGATCGGTGCTGGGTCCACTGCTTTTTGTCATTTATATAAATGATTTGGATGTGAACATAGGAGGTATGGTTAGTGAGTTTGCAGATGACACTCAAATTGGAGGTGTAGTGGACAGTGAAGAAGGTTACCTCAGAGTACAATTGGATCTTGATCAGATGGGCCAATGAACCGAGGAGTGGCAAATGAAGTTTAATTTAGATAAATGTGAGGTGCTGCATTTTGGAAAAGCAAATCAGGACACGACTTATACACTTTAATAGTAAAGTCCTGGGGAGTGTTGCTGAACAAAGAGCCTTGGATTGCAGGTTCGTAGTTACTTGAAAGTGGAGAAACGGGTAGATAGGATAGTAAAGAAGGCGTTTGGTATGCTTGCCCTTATTGGCCAGTGCATTGTGTATAGGAGTTGGGAGGTCATGTTGCAGCTCTAGAGGACATTGTTTCAGCCATTTTTAGAGTATTGCGTGCAATTCTGGCCTCCGTCCTATAGAAAGGATGTTGTGAAACGATAAAGGGTTCAGAAAAGATATGAGGATATTGCCAGGGTTAGAGGGTTTGAGCTGGAGAGCTAGGGAGAGGCTGAGTAGACTGGGGCTATTGTCCCTGGAGCATCAGAGGCTGAGGGGTGATCTCATAGAGGTTTATAAAATCATGAGAAGCATGGATAAGGTAAATAGGCAAGGTCTGTTCCCTGGGGTAGGGGAGTCCAAAACTAGAAATCATAGGTTTAAGGTGAAAGGGACAAGATATAAAAGGGACCTAAGGAGCAACATTTTCACACAGAGAGTTGTGTGTGTATGGAATGAGCTGCCAGAGGAAGTGAGGGAGGCTGGTACGATTGAAAAGTCATCTGGATGGGTAAATGAATAGGAAGGGTTTAAAAGGATATGGGTCAAATGCTAACAAATGGGACTAGATTTATGTAGGACATCTGGTCGGCATGGATGAGTGGGACCAAAGGAACTGTTTCCGTGCTGTATATCTCTGTGACTCTATGAGTCTACCTTGCTAACCTGAAAAGACCTATCTGTGCCTAATGCCTGTTTTCTATTAGCCAGCCAATCTGTCCTTACATCAGGAGTTTTTATTTTTTTACAATAACCTTTCATTTTATCAAATCCCTTCTAGAAGTCTGAGTACAGTAAATCATTAATTTCCTTTTATCTACAATACTCGTCATTACTTCAAAGAACTCCGTAGATTGGTTAGATATGATTTATCTTGACTCTTGAAATTATTTAGGTATCTTGCTACAACTTCTTTAATAAAAACTTCTAACATTTTACCTACGATGGATATTAAGCCTACTGGCTTGTAGTTTCCTGCATGCTGCTTCCCTTTTTTTTGGTGCAAAGGCATTACATTTACTATCTTCCAATATAATAAGACCTTCCCGAATCTAGGGGATTTTGGAAAACCACAACCAATGCATCAACTGTATCACTAGCCAGTTCTTTTAAGACACTTGGATGAAATCCATCAGGAGCCTGGCATGTTGTTAGCTCACAGCTCCAACAATTTACTCAGTATGGATTTTCTTTCGTTTGTAATTTTCCTGAGACCCCCACCTTCCATTTCACGATTTATCACTATTTCTGGCATGTTACATATATCCACTATAGTGAAGATTGATGCAAAGTACCTGTTCAATTCATATTCCATCTCAATATTTTCTGTTTTAAATTTACAGATACACTTTCTATAGAACAATTGCTCAACTTGCAAATTGTCTTTTAAAATATTTATAGAAACACTTCATATCAGTTTTTATATTTCTAGCTAGCTGTCTCTCATACTCCAATTCTTCCCTCCTTGTTAATTTTTCTAGTGATTTATTTATTTTATCCAAATTTCTGACCTGCCATCTGCAGATGCAGAATTACTAGTTTTTGTTTTCTTTAAGTTTGATACTATCTTTGATTTTTTTTAATGAACATGAATTGTGAGTTGTTTCCTTGCGATCTTTCTTATTAATTGGAATACATCTGTTCTGTATATTAGGAAAGTCCCCTTTAATGGATAGTATTAGACATTTACTTAGTTTGCCAATTTACTTTAGCCACCTCTGCTTTCATTCCCTCATAACTGCGCCTATTTAAGCGTTTTAAAAAAATATCTCAGAACAACTCCTCTCTCCCTCAAAATGAATGTAGAATTCAGTCATATAGTCACTGCTACCCAGGGGTATCTTCTGTGTGAGATCATTAATTGTATCTCTTTGCACAGTACAAGGTCTTTTATTAACAATGTTTTCTGGTAGCATCCAGAATATGCTGTTCGAAGAAACTAGTTAGTAAACATTTAATGAACATTTATTCTAGGCTACCATAGTCCACCTGGATTTTCCAGTGTATCTGCCAAGGTTATCAGCATACCTTCCTTTATATGCTCCACTTTACTATTTTGTTTTCTGTTGAGAGGCCTTGTACACCACTCCCACAAGTGACTTCTTGCTTTTATCATTCTTCATCTCTACCTAAACCATTTTCACATCCTGATTTTCCAAAATCTGGATCATCCCTCTCTATAATGCTAATACCATCATTAACTAACTGAGCCGCCCCTACATCCTTTCCTAGCTTTCTTGCCTTCCTAAATGTCCTGTAACCTTCCCTATTCAGATACCGATCACATTATCCTGCAACCATATCTCTCTAATAACTACCAGATTGTACTTCTTTGTTTCTTTTGATGTTCTCAATGCATCTGTTTTGTTTTGAGTACTGTACATTCAGGTAGAATCTTCAGTGTTATCCTTTTTATTCATTCTCTAGTCTCTAGTCCTTTTTTATTCATTTGTTCCTTTCTCCATTTATGGGATGTAGACTTTGTTGGCCAGGCCAGCATTTATTGCCCAATTGGAAATGACCATTTTCATCAATATTCCTAAAATGAGACGTAGTTTAGCAAAAGTGAATTGCAAATACCTACTTAGATGTAAATCCATGTCAGAGCAGTGAGAGGCATTCAAGGAGGAGAAGGTAAGAGTTCAGGACAAATGCATTCCCACAAATCTGAAAGGTGTGATCCCAAGTCTATACCTCTTTGATCTCCAGGAGAATACAGAGCAGAATAAGGTAAACAAGGAGGGTCATGTCAAGCCAATGAATTCTCATTATTGCAAAAGCCTGGAAAAATAAAATATATGTCAGGGTGAAATTGGAAAAGAAATTAGGAAAGCAAAGGAGAAGGTGTGACAAAATATTGTTGAGGAGAAATAAGGAAAACCAAAGGTGTTTTATAAATAGATAAGGAACAAAATAATAACTAAGGAAAGAGAAGTGTTATTGGATACCTGAAGGATCTTGATGAAAATTTCACATCTGTCTTCACAAATGCGTGGGACACTGTAGATTTTGGAGGAGGACTAAGGATAAACATGGTGAGAGAGAAAATACTTAGGGGGTTAATACCTTTTGAAAGCAGAACAATTGCCAGGTTGTTCAGGGACATAATTGAGGGAAAAGTAGAAAACTGACTATCATTTTCTGAAATTCACTGGCTACTTAGTGCTGGAGGATTGCTGAAATTGTAATTTTGTTTAGAAATAAAAAAAGGGAGGTAGTGAATAATTAAAATCATGTCAGCTGAACTTTAGTAGTGGGTGAATTATTGCAAAAACGCTCAGAGGCAGTATTAATAGTCATTTAGAAAGTCCATTCACCTTTGATTTGATATGGAAAAGTCATATCTGTCCAACCTAATTGTTGCTTCTTCAATCATTCTAACAGAATTGATACAGATAGCAGATTTGATGTACTCTGCATGAATTTTAGCAAAGCTTCTAATAAGGATCTGCATGGCAGACAAGTCAGAGCCTGTGGGATTCAAGATTAAGTGACAAGTTGGATCCAAACCTATCTTAGTGGGAGGAAGTACTGGGTAATAGTCAATAATACTTTTGTAACTGGAAAGTTGTATGCAATGAGTTTCTGCAGAACTCAGTACTGTGTCCATTGTTTCTCATGGTATGTACTTAGAAAAATTTAGGTGGCAGGATTAAAAATATTGTGGAATTTACAGTGTTCGGCTATATGGTTATTAGTGAAGACAGCTAAACTGCAGGAAGATACCAATGGTTTGGTCAGGTAGGAATGGAATTCAATCTATAGAAGTCTGAGATAACGTGTTTGGAGAAAGCAAACAAGAAAAGGAAATATGCAATAGATGGTAGGAATTTTGGAGATGTAAAGGTAGAAGTTGTACATTGGAGTGCATTCCCTCATTTCTCTGAAGGTAGCAGGACATGTAAATAAAATGGCTCAGAAGGTGTGTGGTATACTTTCCCATACTTGCCAAGGCATAGAATATAAGAATGAGGAATTTACGATAGAACTGTATGAAACAGTTGTCAGACAACAGCTAGAATACTGCTCACCAAATTGCAAGAAGATTGCAATCGCGCTATAGAAGGTACAGTGGAGATTTACAAGACTGTCAGCAGAAACTAAGAACTTTAGCTAAGAAGAAAGATGAGATAGACTGGGATTGTTTCATTAAAACAGGAAGTTGAAGGGAGGATTAATACAAAAAAACTCCATAAAATTATGAGAGGTGGAGTTGATAAGGAAGACACATTTCCCTCAGCAAAGAGGTCAATGACCAGGAGGTATCAATTTGAAGTAATCAGTAGACAAATCAGAGGGGAGTTGAGAGGTCTGGCCTCATTGCTTGAACAGGCAGTAGAGGCAAATATCTTAATCTCATTTTTTAAAAAAATGTACTCGCGCCATCAAAATGCTATAATCTACAAAGCTAGAAAGTGAGATTAGGCTGGTAATTTTTTTTGACAAGTGCAGAAATAGTGGGCTAGATGACTTTCTGTGCTGTAAATTTCTATATTCTGATATTTCAATCTCTCAATTTTTATATCTATTTCATCAGTTGTTAATAAATTGTACACCCCGTATCAATAAATTACTTTTTCTATTGTAAAGATATCCAGTATCATGTAGTAAATCATCAGAACACATGTAAATCATTATAGTACCTTGCAGCAACTTGCATTTTATCTCTTCAGTGCTAAATTTACCAAATTAAGTTCAGATCACAGAATCCCTATGGTGTGGAAACAGGCCCTTCGGCCCAACAAGTCCACACTGACTCTTGGAGCATTCCACCCAGACCCACTCCCCTCTCACCCACCTAATCTGCACATCTCTGAACACTATGGGCAATTTAGTATGGGCAATGTAGCACTTAGCCTGCACATCTTTGGACTGTGGGAGGAAACTGGAGCACCTGGAGAAAACCCACTCAGGCATGGGGAGAATGTGCAAACTCCACACAGACAGTAGCCCGAGGGTGGAATTGAACCGGGGTTCCTGGTGCTGTGAGGTAGCAGTGGTAACCACTAAGCCACGGTGCCACCACATTATGTTTGATAATATCACATATATATAAAATTAATCTTTGCTTCTTATTTTGCATAACAATTTATAGAATAAGGTAGATGTTGTCCGTCTCTGAGAGACAACAAATACATACAAAGACAAAGATATGGTAGAGACTCTGAGATCTCTATAAAAACCACAGTTTAGTTATGAAGTACTTAAATGAATAACACACACTTTTAATTGCTAGAGATAACTGAATCACTGTTTTTCACTACCCTGATTTATGTAACTAAATCCAAACGTATTACCCGGGAGAATTCTCAACTGGTCAGGCTAAAACTCTGTTCGATGCCTTCACCGCACCTTCTGATGTAAGGTACTTCTTGCACAACGTTAATCTTCAAAGTGTTGTTGAACAAAGGGATTTCTTCAGGTTCTTTATACACAAGCTTCTGTGCCAAGTGTGTGCCTTATTTGGAATTATGCATTCACGTGACCAATCCTGAATGTTTTGACCAAATGCATGTCTTATTTGGACTTATTTGGACATGTTCTGAGGAAGGGTCACCGGACCCGAAATGTTAACTCTGTTTTCTCCTCCACAGATGCTGCCAGACCTGCTGAGCTTTTCGAGCAACTTTGTTTTTGTTCCTGATTTACAGCATCTGCAGTTCTTTTGGTTCTTATTTGGACTTATCTGTGCGTGTGAGCAATCCCAATTGTTTTGTCCAAATGTATCCTTATCTGGTAGAGACAATAATTCCCGATTTCCAGCAGTTTTAACTCTTAGCAGACCTGACTGACTCAGCGTAATTCCATTCACATAACAGCCCGGTGTTAAGCTTGTTATCAGTTCCTGTCAGTTCGTATTCGCTTCAGCCTTATCCAACATAGATGTACCTTGATAAGACAGTAACACTTGTGTTTTCTCTTGTTAGGCTGCAGAAATAAATCATTTGATATTATCTCAGCCAACAGCCAGACAGGCTATCCGTCTAGAGGCCCTTCTTCCACCATGGCAAGAAAAAATTCACTTCAAAGATACCTTGGATAAATTGGAGGTAAGTTTTGCACAAGTGAAGACCGCGAGTCCTTCCAGCATGGAAAGAGATAAGGCCTAAGGGTAAGAGAGACCAAGGGCATTTCCAGCTTGAGGTTCACTCTTGCCAATATTTAAAATCTTTAAATTAAAAAATGTCCTAACTAGCAGAGCACTATCATAGAGCTCCTGGAGCACCAGGCCTCCTACATACCCCTGCCATCAAGTCTGCTACCAACAGTCCACTCCAGGAGCTATCCTAGATCTCAATGCCTCTAGTTGCCATCTGACTCTAGACCTTAAGTGGTCATTTAAGACCTTGGTTAGATAACTAACTCATTCTGGTTGGTGGCACAAAATTTCACATCTACCCACATCTGTGTTCACCTTGTTGGAGGTGCCTAAACCTAGTGATGATATCTTTCATTATTATTTATAATCAAATGCTGTCTGGAAGTTCTAAAGTCTTTCCTAAGAGACTGTTAGCCAATGTTGAAGATGGTGGAATTAAAGATGTATTATTGACATGGTTAGGATATTAGTTGAGCAGCAGGAGACAGAGGATAGGGCCTGTGAATGAGTATTGTAATTGACAGATCTGACTCATGATATCATGCAAGGATCTGCATTGGGTCCACAATTGTCACCATATTTATTGAAAACCTAGGTGATGAAATAGAACACCATGTATCCAAATTTGCTAATGTCATGACAGTATAAAATTAGAAAACAAATTGCTAGGTTAAGTGAATGGGCAAGACTGGCAAGAAAAAATTCAGTGCAGGCAAGTTGATGTTATTCACTTTGAACCTAAGGCTGATAGAAAAAATATTTTCTAAATGGTGAAAGGTGAGAATAAACCTGAAAGAGACTTAGCTGGGGGAAGGGCTAAGGGTACATTAGATCACTAAAACATCATAAACAGAAAATGATTTAAAACCGTAACAGAATGCTGTCCTTTAATGGGACAGAATGGCTACTCCTGTTCCTTTATTATTGAATTAAACTGGGACACTAGAGAAATCTTGAGGAATTTCTGGACCATGATTTGGGCTAGGCAGTAATTCATTCCTATCAACATAAGGAAAGCAATTGCAATCTCTCTCTCTCCCCTGAGATTATTAAATTTTGTTCAGATATGGACTGCCTTCCCAAAATCTAGAGATAGTAGGAACTGCAGATGCTGGAG